GCAATCCACTCACCTCAGCCTCCCAAAGGCGCAGGATTACAGGCTGAGCCACTGAGCCCGGCTTAGCACAATTTTTTAAAGAGAATGTTAATTTTCCATTGAATTGACTTGGCACCTTGTCAAGAATCAATTGACCATATATATATGTGTGACTCTAATTCTGTTCCACTGATACATGTGTCTTAAATATTGCACTTCTATAGAAATCTAAAAATGAAGTAGTGTGAATCTTTCAGTGGTGTTCTTTTAAAAAAGTTTCTTTGCATTTTCATAAGTATTTCAGAATCAGCTTGTTGATTTCTATAAGAAAGCCTGCTGGGATTTTCTCTGACATTGCTATTGATCACACTGGGAAAAGTTGGCCACAACCATATTGATTTTTCCAACTTATAAACATTTATGTAGCTCTTTTTTAGTTTCTCTCATCAATTTTTCTTTTTGTTCTCAGCATACTGATTTTGCATGCTTTGTTAGATTTACATAAAGTATGGATCTATTTTTTATGCTATTGGAAATGGTGCTATTTTTTAAATCTCTATTTTATTTGTTCATTGCTAATGTGTAAGAATATAATAGTTTTTTCTTTTTGTTTTCTTCTATAAATATCTGAGTTAGGAAAACAGGGTTCCTAGCTTGTGGCAGTCCTGGTGATGACCCTGGAAGGCTGATCTTGGCCTCTAGCCCGGTTGAGGAGAAAAGGGATTGCCCATAGCCCCATAGGTATAATTGATTTTTCTATGTTGACCTTGTATACTGTAACTTTTCTAAACTCACTTTTTTTTTTTTTGAGACAGGGTCTTGTTCTCAACCTCCTGGGCTCAAGTGATCCTCCCGCCACAGCCTCCCGAGTACCTGTGACTACAGGTGCACCATCATGCCCAGCTAAATTTTTTTTTGGCTGAGTACAGGGGACTTTATTGACGGCACATGATGAGGTGGGACTCCCTAGGTGTCCCACCCATTCTTCAGGGAGTCTGGCATAGACACTGTGAGAAGGGAAGATTCTCAGTGTGTTTGGGAACTGAGTGTGGCAGGGACTTCCCAGCAACTGAGGGCTTCTCTCTTCCTCTTGTGCTCTCTCTTCCTCTCACTGGGGCTGGTGGTTTGGGGACTTTTACTCCTTGGAGGCCATGGGACTCATGAGATCCACCACTCTGTTGCTGTAATTCACTGTCATACCAAGAGATGAGCTTGACAAAGTGGTCATCGAGGGCAATGCCAGCCCCAGCATCAAAGGTAGAAGACTGAGTGTCACTGTTGAAGTTGGAGGATACAACCTGTGCTTGGTATAGCCCAGGATGCCCTAGAGGGGACCCTCAGATGACTGCTTCACCACTTTCTTGATGTCATCATATTTGGCAGATTTCTTTAGATGGCAGGTCAGGTCCACTACGGACACATTGGCAGTGGGGACATGGAAGGCCATGACCATAAGCTTCCGCTTCAGCTCGGGGATGACCTTGCCCATGGGCTTAGCAGCGCTGCTGGATCCAGAGATGGTGTTCTGGAGGACCTCGTGGCCATCATGCCACAGATTCTCAGAGGGGCCCTCCACGGTCTTCTGGGTGGCAGTGATGGCATGGACGGTGGTCACGAGACCCTCCGTGATGCCAAAGTTGTCATGGATGACCTTGGCCAGAGGGGCTAAGCAGGTGGTGGTACGGGAGGTATTGTTGACAATCATGAGGTTGTTCTGATACTTCTCATGGTTCATGCCCATCACAAACATGGGGGTGTCAGTGAAGAGGGCAGAGATGATGACCCTTTTGGTTTCCCCCTGTAAGTGAGCCCCAGTCTTCTCGAAGGTAGTGAGGACCCTGGTGGACTCCATCACATAATCAGTGCCAGCATTGCCCCATTTGATTTTGGTGAGATCTCGATCCTGGAAGATGGAGATGGGATTTCCAATGATGACAAGCTTCCTGTTCTTGGCCTTGATGGAGCTGTGGAGTTGTACTGGAACATGTAGACCATGTGGTTGAGTTTAATGAAGGGGTCATTGATGGTGACAATATCCATTTTGCCAGAGTTAAAAGCAGCCCTGGTGACCAGGCGCCCAATACAGCCAAATCCACTCACTCCAGCCTTCATCTCCACCATGGTGTCTCGGGAACACGGCAGGTGCTGCACTAGAGATGCGGCTGTCTGTCGAGCGGGAGGAGCAGAGAGCTCCAGCTAATTTTTAAATTTCTTGTAGAGACAGGACCTTGCTATGTTGCTCACATTATGTTGAACTCCTGGCCTCACGTAATCCTCCCACCTCGGCCTTCCAAAGCACTGGGATTACAGGTGTGAGCCACCAAGCTCAGCCTCGCTTACTCATTATAGAACCTTTTTTGTAGATTCTTTGAGATTTCCTACATAGACTATTATGTGTTCTGTTAACAGATACAGGCTTACTTGTTCCTTTCTGATCTGTAAGTTTTTATTTCTTTTTCTTGGCTTGTTGTACCTGTTAGGATCACTAGTAAAATGCTGAATGAGAGTAGTAAAAGAGGACATGCTTACTTGCTTCTGAACAAGCAAGAATGAAGACATTCAGTTTTTTATCACAAAATATGACAGCAGGCTGGGCACAATGGCTCATGCTTGTAATCCCAGCACTTTAGGAGGCGAGAGGATTGCCTGAATCCAGGGGTTTGAGACCAGCCTGGGCAACTTGGTAAGACCTCATCTCTACAATAAATAAAAAAATTAGCTGGACTTGGTGGTGCATGTCTGTGGTTCCAGCTACTTCTGCTGAGGCAGAAGGATCGCCTGAGCCCAGCAAGTTGACGTTGGGGTGGCCATGAGTGTGCCACTGCGTTCCAGTCTGGACGAGAGTGAGACTCCAACAACAACAACAAAATAATAATAACATATATATTTATATTATTAGTAGATACAGAGATTTTTGTGAATGTCCATTATTGAGTTGAGGAAGTTTCCTTTAATTCTTAGTTTGCTGAAAGGTTTAATTGTGAGTAAATATTCAGTTTCTCTTTTTTTATATCAAAAAATATAGCCGAGCTCGGTGGCTCAGCCTGTAATCCCGCACCTTTGGGAGGCTGAGGTGAGTGGACTGTCTGAGCCCGCGGGTTCAAGACCCGCCTAGGCAACTTGGTGAGACCTCATCTCTACAATAAATCAAAAAAATTAGCCAGACGTGGTAGCGCGCTCCTGCAGTTCCAGCTACTTAGAAGGCTGAGGCGGAAGGATCGCTGGAACCCAGCAGGTTGAGGTTGTGGTGGCCGGGAGTGGCCACTGCACTCCATTCTGGGTGACTGAGTGAGACTCCAACTCAAAAAAAAAAAAAAAATCCTGCTTTCTAAAAAATAGAAAGAAAGAAAAAAAAACATGGCCTGGCCATAGCTCAAAGAGCACATGACCACACCATAGCTTAGCAAGGCCATGGCCTCAGTTTCTTTCATGTCTCTTTTCCCTTTTATATTTCACTTTTTTATCATTGGTTGATGCATTCTTGGTAATTTCCTAAGATTTACATTTCAATTGACTAATCTCTCTTCAACTTTGCCTATTCTGTTTTTTTCACTTGTCTTTTAAAGGTTTAAATCTTAATAATTATAACTTAATAATTATGAAGGTTATAATTTATCTGATTCATCTTCAAATGTTTTTATTAGTTTCTTTGTCATCATAATTTTCAGTATTTCTTCTCACTTCTTTAAACATATTAAAGTACTTATTTTCTGTGTATTCTTATTCTTCCATTTGTTTAGTATCTGTGGGTCTCATCTTGCTATTTGTTGTTTCTGCTGACTCATGCTCCTTGTGGTTTGATTTCTTATGAGTTTATTTATTTATTTTTTTAGTTGGCGTCTCACTCTGTTGCCCAGGCTGGAGTGCAGTGGCATGCTCATGGCCACCACAGCCTCAACCTGCTGGACTTGGGTGATCCTTCTGCCTCAGCCTTCCAAGTAGCTGGAATTATAGGCACGCCTCCATGCCCAGCTAATTTTTTGATTTATTGTAGAGATGAGGTCTCACCAAGTTGCCCAGCCTGGTCTTGAACCCCTGGACTCAGGCAATCCTCTTGCCTTGGCCTCCCAAAGTACTGAGATTACAGACTTGAGCCACCATACCCAGTGAATTTATTGATTTTTAATTATGAGCGCCTGTTCCTTGGAATTATTTGTGGGAATTCTTTGAATCTATGTTTAAAATATAGTCCTCTAAAAAGAATTCTTGTTTGCTCCTACCAGGTGCCTAGGGGTATTTCCAACTCAGAACCACTTACAAATGTTTTGGCTTTTTTAGGGTTTTTGAAATCACACAGGGAATATACTTTGGGCTTCCCTCTATGCACATGCTGGCTTATGTTAAGCATTTTACTGGCCTTCTTTTTACTCTGTGTTTCTTCTCCAGCCACAGCTAAGTGGAGAGAGGAAAGTCTTCTGTGACTAAGTCATTCCCCCCACCCCTCGTTTCTCTGCTACAGAGAATTTGTAGAGAATTCTCTGCTACAGTTGATTTTGAGAAGTCCCAAATCTGCAGACAGGAAGGAATCTTTGATAACCCACTTCCCAAGATCAGACCTCAGGTCTTTCCTCCTCTTGCTTCATCTTTTGGTTCCCCTCTAAGCAGAGTCTCAGGCAAACGTTTCTGTGTAATTAATTTGGGAAGTATTCCCAGAGAGCAGGAGTGAGGGATGGAGACAGAAACAGAAAGATGAATAGCTAATACAAGGCTGCTTTACCAGTGGGACCCCTGGTAGATCCTTGGTTCTGAGAGGCTCCTCTGAGAAGCCTCATAAAATGGGAGATAAAAAGGAGAAGCATTTCGTATTGCTTGTGCCATCCATTGATCAGGAGTGTCCTCATAGGCATGAACTCTGCCGAACTTAGAGTTTGCTCATGTATGAGGGTCCAGGTAATTCCCAAGAGCATCCTGCTCTGGGGGGTCAGAGAGACTCAGGCAGGAAGGGAGAGGTGGCCCCCATGTGCCCAAGGTAAAGTGGTACTAGTATGAGGCTGGTCGAAGTCCACATGACACTCATTACCTCAGCAGTGACCGGAACCAGAGTTGGGGCCAAGAGGACAGACATGGTGCCTAGGAGGTGCCTGAGAACTTGGCCACTTATAGCCTAGGCCCTTGGGGAGTATGGGCTCCTGGGCAGGCTCACCCTGGTGGGATCATGCCCTCTTGGTATTCTGACTTCTGACTGACTCCCTTATTTAACACTAGTTCATCTATGCTTTCACAGGCACAATCTTGATATCTTATTTAGCATTTTCATGAGTAATTTCTCTATTCCAATAGTCTGCATATTTTCTGATGTAGAAATAAATGGCCCTTGTTTTCAAAGTGCTTACATTTGTATTTTAATATCCTTTTTAACAATTGCTGAATATTGAAATCAAGCATCCCCCTCTGAGTCCCTATAATCCACCATCGTGCCCTATTTGAAAAGCGGTGTGGTCAATAATAACAACTACAGCAGCAGCTACCAATCTTTGAACACCTATTATGTGCTGTTATTGTTATATATATTGTATTTCTAGACGTTAGAGATCCAGTAATACCATAAGCACATTGTTTTATACAGCTGCTTTAAAAATCAGTTAATAAGCCGGGCTCGGTGGCTCAGCCTGTAATCCCGCGCCTTTGGGAGGCTGAGATGAGTGGATTGCCTGAGCCCGCGGGTTCGAGACCCGCCTGGGCAGCGAGACCTCATCTCTACAATAAATAAAAAATTAGCCGGGCGTGGTAGCGCATGCCTGTAATTGGAAGGCTGAGGCGGAAGGATCGCCGGAGCCCAGCAGGTCGAGGCTGCGGTGGCCGGGAGCGGCCACTGCACTCCAGTCTGGGCGACAGAGTGAGACTCCAACTCAAAAAAAAAAAAAAAAATCAGTTAATAGTGCTTATACTGTCTTGTATAATCGCATAATTACCTTTGCCAGCACTTTGTTTCTTCATATGGTTTTGAGTTACTGTTAGGGTCACTCACTTCACTTCCTTTAGTAAAACTTGTGAGGTAGCAATGAAGTCTCTTAACTTTTACTTATCTGGAAATGTCTATATTTCTTTCTTTTTTGAAAGCTAACTTTGCTGAATATAAAATTGTTGGTTGACAGGTTTTTTTCCCAACATTTTGAGTATGCAATCCCATTGCCTTCTTGCCTCCATTGTTTCTGTTGAGAAGGCAAATGTTATTTCTATTAAAGTTGTCTTGGACATGACTTCTAATTGACTCCCTATTTGACACCAGTTCATCTGTGCTTTCACTTTCACATTTTTTATATTTTATTTAGCACTTTTAGGAGGTGATTTTTCTACCCAAATAATCTGCACATTTCCAGATGTAGCAATAAATATTCATTGTTTTCAAATGCTTATAAATATACTTTAACGTTCCTGTCATTATTTGCTGAGTATTGAAATGGGGCGTCCTTTCTGGAGTTTCCATCATCTTCCTTGGTGCCCTATTTTGAAAAACAAGCCAGTTGATCATAACAGCAACATTAGTAGCAGCTCTTAGTTTTTTCTTTTTCTTTGTCTTGTTTAACTCACCGAAGCAGAAAGTTTCCAGCTTTCCACCTATTATGCACCGCACACTTGCTGTGGCTTTGTAGGTGTCATCTCAGTGAATTCCCAAAACTGTCCTAGGATGCTCACTCTGGTTCCCTTGTTACAATGAGGAAACTGTGACCTAGGGAGATGGCCCAAGGTCACAAAGTGCCAAAGTTCCCCTGCTGTCACTACATCTGTGCCTTTCTTTTTTTTTTTAATTTTTATTATAAAGATGGGGGTGAGAAGCTGAGGTGAGTGGATTGCCTGAGCCCGCGGGTTCGAGACCTGCCTGGGCAGCGAGACCTCATCTCTACAATAAATAAAAAAAAAATCAGACGGGCGTGGTAGTGCATGCCTGTAATTCCGGCTACTCGGAAGGCTGAGGCGGAAGGATCGCTGGAGCCCAGCAGGTGAGGCTGCGGTGGCCGGGAGCGGCCACTGCACTCCAGTCTGGGCGACCGAGTGAGACTCCAACTCAAACAAACAAACAAAAAAACAAAGATGGGGGTGCCCAGCAATTCCCCTATTGGGATTATACCTGAAGGAGCTCAAATTATTCTACATCCTGTGCCTTTCTATGGAAAAGCCTTC